TGCGTGAGTTTTTCACTGCGTGGGGTGGGGAGAAGGGGGCGGGGGGCGAGGGGGAGACGCTGGGGGAGCAGGCAGAGGGGAAGGATGTGGCGGGGAAGGTGGGGGTGCTGGTGGGGGTGGCGGCGCAGTGGCAGCAGCGCGTGGGGGAGCTGGAGCGGGAGAGAGAGGCACTAGAGGAGCAGGTGAGGGAGAGTGAAGCCCGGGTGCACGAGGTAGAGTCAACGTCTGGGGCGTGGCGGTCGGATAGAGGAGCGCTGGAGAAACAGGTGAGAAGGTTAGATGAGCAGAGGCGGCTGGCGGAGTCGAGGGTTCAGGAGCTGGAGTTGCAGCTATCGGCCATGCAGGAGATGCTGGAGGAGGCGAAGGCAGAGGCGGGGGCGGCCGTTGCTGGGGGGGGGGTGGGTGGGGTGACGCTTGCTGACGTGGAGGCGCTGCAGGCGGCGAATCAGAAGGCGAGGAGGCGGATTCACGAGCTGGAGGGGCAGGTGAGAGGGTGGGAGGAGCGCGTGAGGGAGAAGGAGGGGGAGCTAGAGGTGGCGCTGGCCGCGGTTTCTGCTGCGGCGGACTCGGCTGCAGCGGCGGCGGCGGCGGAAGCAGTGGGGAGGGCAGGGGCGGGCGGGGGAGCAGGAGCGGGGGCAGGAGCGGGAGGCGTGGGGAAGGCGGAGAGGCAGTTGGAAGACGCGCGGAGGAGGGTGGAGGGGTTGGAGGAGGAGATTAAACGCATGTCAGGGGAGCTGGCACTGGCTGGTGTGAGCCGGCGAGAGCTGGAGATGAAGGTGCTGCGGCTGGAAGGGGCGTGCGGCAAGCTGGAGAGCGAATTGCAGGAGGCGAATGTGGGGCGGCGGCGCGCGGAGGAGAGGCAGGCGGAGGTGGAGGCGCAGCTGACAGTGGCGGTGGACAGGGCGGAGACGCAGAGGGGACTGGTGGGGGAGCTAGAGGCGAAGGTGAGTAAGGGCGCTGCGCGGGAGGAGGCGTTGGAGCAGTACGTGGCTGTGGTTGAGGGGAAGGCGAAGGAGGGGGAGCGGGAGAGGGAGCGGTTGGAGGGGCGAGTGAGGGAGGAGGAGGAGAGGAGGAGGGAGGTGGAGGGGAGGGTTGAGGAGAGTGAGGCGGCGGTGGGGAGGGCGAGGGAGGAGGCGGAGAGGGAGGTTGGGGAGGCGAGAAGGTTGGTAGAGGAGATGGAAGCGCGATTGGAGGTGGGGGAGGCGGAGAGGGAGAGTGCAGTGGCGAGGGCTGTAAGGGCGGAGGAGGGGCAGAGGAGGGAGAAGGCCGAGAGGGAAGCGGCAGTGGAGCGGTTGACCAATGAGGTGGCGCTGCTGACTCAGCAGCTGTCGGCGTTATCTGAGGGGGGGAGTGCGGGCGAGGGCGGCGACAGGCTGTCTGCGGTCGAGGCCGCGGAGCTCCGGGCGGCGAAGGGCGAGCTAGAGGACAAGCTGCGCCGTGCGGAAGGGGATTTGAGGGAGGCGGTGAGGGAGAAGGTGAAGCTGGAGGGGGAAGTGCGGGCGGCGAAAGAATCAGCGGCAGAATCAAAGGTCAGGGAGGGGACTCTCTTGGGGGAGGTGGAGGAGCTCAAGAAAGAAGTGGCGGCGGCAGCAGAGGCAGCGGCTGAATTGACTCGCGTGAGGGAGCAGCACGAGCAGCTGGCAGCACAGCTAGCCAAAGCGGAAGCTTCCGTGAAGGAGCTACAGGTGGCGCGGGAGGAGCTGGAGCAGGAGCGCAAGGGGCTGGTGCAGCAGAGCGTGGTGCTGCACGGCAAGGTGAAGGAGCTTGAACGAGTCAAGGGGGAGCTGGCCCAGGCCAGGACTGAGAGACAGGTGCTGGAGGAGAGAAGGCTAGCTCTGGCGATGAAGCTGGCGCGGATCGAGGAGAGTATGGAGGAGCTGGAGGATTTGAGGGCGCGGAGTGCGTCTGTGGAGGGCGAGATGGGGCACCTGGCAAAGCAGGCGGAGCAGGTGCCGGGGCTGCTGGAGGAGCGGGAGAAGCTGCAGGGGAGGGTGAGGGAGCTGGAGGGTCGGGCTGCGGAGCTGGAGGCTCGGGTGGGTGAGATGGAGGTTGCTGCTGCTGCGGCGGCTGCGGCGGTGGCGGTGGGTGGGGGTGAGAGTGAGGGGGATGGTGATGCAGCGGCGGCGGCTGCGACAGCAGCTGCGGCAGAAGCGACAGTTGCGGCGGAGGCAGCGGCGGCGGCAGCAGCGGCGAAAGCAGAGGCGCTAGTGGAGGAGGTGCGGCAGCTGAAGCAACAAAACGCGGAGCTTAAGCGAGCACTCACTGAGGGTACCAGCAGCAGTGCTGCTGGTGGTGGGATGGAGCCTTCCCCCCAGGGCAAGGGCAGCAGGTCTCTGGGCGGAGGGGTGGGGGGCTTGGGGGGGATGGGCGGAGGGGGGGGAGCAGGGGGCGCGTTCGCCCGCGGGCGGATGGGGGGGATCATGGCGTCGCGGGGGGGAGGTGGCGAGGCGGCGTTGGAGAAGCAGGTGGAGGAGCTGAGGCGGCGCACGGTGGCATTAGAGGGCGAGGTGGGGCGCAAGGCAGAGGCGCTCGCTGCTGCTGAGAGAAGGCTGTTGGAGCTGGAGGGGAGTGGGGGGAGTGGGGGTGCAGGGGCGCGCGTGGGGGACATGGATGCCGCAGCGGAGGAGCGCATCAAGACTCTTGAGGTGAGGCATGCCCCCGTTGACTTGACTCTGTTTTTTTACCGAACCCTTCTTGTGCTCTGATCGTTCGCTTTCTTACCCAAAGTGTATGCGACAAGATGTGACTCACTCCACTGTCTTCCGAGTTGGCACAAAGCACCCGTCTACTCTCAGGCAGCTGATACCTCCAATGCAACTCTTGCCCGTCTTTGTTTTCTTGCTCTCTCCCCTCCCTACAGGCACAGGTGGAGGTGTTACAGCAGCAGGTGGAGCAGCAGAGGGCGGTGGCGGAGGCAAGGGAGGGCAGCATGGGGGAGTATGTGGCGCTGCTCACCGCCACCAACGACTCACTGGCTGCCGGCACTGATGCCGCCACCATGCAGCTCAACCAAGCGGTGAGTGCGCCCTTGACATCACATTGTTGCCTTGTGCACGCTCTCATGGACCGACCTCACTCATCAATGCTTGCAATGCCCCCACGCTGACCCTGCACCGCATCCCACGTAGGTATTTCCTGTTTTTTTAGGCGACTCATTTGCCACCCCACGTGTGTTCCCCTGTGCTCTCTATTCCCCTCCATTCCCTTGCAATGCAGCTGCTGAAGGCGCAGCAGCAGGTGGGCGAGGTGAGGGAGAGGCAGGCGGAGCTGAGGGCAGCAGCAGCGGTGCACGACGCCACCATCCTGGAGCTCAAGGAGGTGTGTTCTCGGTGCTTAGTGCTCAATGGTCAGTGGTCAGTGCTTGAGGCGCCACAAAAGAAGGCTCTCTTGTTGCCTCTGCCCTTTTATGCCATGGGGTGATGTTGTGTAGTGGCTTGGCGGAGCCCTTGGTTTCATGTGCCATACACCATTCTACAACCCACTGTTCAACATCCCTGTCTACCCATTCTTCCTCCACTGCCCTTCCCCACGGCCCCATCTGTCACAGGAGGTGGGGCGGCTGCAGAAGCTGTTGCAGCTTCCGTTGTCTTCCGTTGCCCATTCTTTTCCATTGCTTTCCCCGACTGTCTTCCACTACTCCCCCCCTACCCCATTGCTACAGGAGGTGGGGCGGCTGCAGAAGAAGCTGTCGCAGCGCATGCGGGGGGGAGGCAGCACAGCAGGCGGCAGTGGCATGGTGGAGCGCATGGCGCTGTTGGAGGCAGAGCTGGCAGAGGCCATGGAGAGCAACCACAAGTACAAGGACCAGCTCAAGAGGTACACGGCGAGAATTCTCATGGTTTGTTGAAAGTTTTTAGTTCCAAGATGGTGGCTTGAGTGCATCGTTGGAACCCCTTGTGGGTGGAGTTTGGGTGTGTGGAAATGCTCTCCTAGATCTCAGGCTCTTCCAGTTTGAGGGGTGGAGAGAGCAGGTTAGATAAAAATCTCATCGCTTTTTTTCGCCTGCCCCGTTCTGAACCCCACTGCCTGCCACCCAGGGCCTTGGGTGGGACGGGGAACGGAGTCGACACTCAACCAGCTGAAGCTCCTGCTGCTGCACCGATCCCAGCCAGCCCTACCAAGCCAGCCGCAGCTGCTGCCCTGGGGAATGATGCAGAGAGGTCGCCTCAGATGAAGGGGAGAGCAGTCAGCAGCAGCCCCATGACCGGTTCTAGCAGTCCCATGATGGCAGGAGGCAGACGACTGGGCACCGCCTCCCCTGCTGCCAAGCCAAGCCCATTTGGACGGAGGTAATGTAACATTTTTTAGATAAATGTAAACCCTAGAGGCGTTCTAACTTCCCTCTGACAGACAAAAGTAGTAAAATCTCTTATGCACGTTGTGTTATGCCAGTCCGAGGCCATCTGTTGTATGTAGGGGTAGATGATAATTTACAATATTGTACCATCATTTTCAACACATTCTAGCACACATAAGGCTTGTACGGCTAACAAATGAGTGCATATTCGAACAGTCACCGTACTGAAACATATTGTCTGTTCTTTGAACCGTATTCTACCCCATCAAACCCAATTTTCGTGCGAAGGTGTGCGCCGTAAAGCGATGCGCACAATACGAGCCAATGGTCCACCAATCTGTGGGAACGGTTCTTTCGTCAACACACATGCTGGCGAATTGAAGATTCAACCTTTTCCCACGTCTTTTCGCTGACGAACTCAGACTTGTTACCCCCATTGCACAATTTCCAACAGCGTTCGTGACAGCATTGCACGAGCAGAATCGTGCACGCTTCAGTGTTGGCGCGAAAAAAAGACATCGTTGAAGTTCACTTCAAAAGCAACGTCCGTACTATCACTTACATGTTCTCTCTCCCTCGCATTGATACAGCAGCTGTTTTTTCCAGCACAGAAGACCAGAAAACTCGACCCGTATTGAACTGATAGGAAGAAGAAGAGGCTGCGCAAGGGGATGTTGAGGAAGGAGTAGGGCAGGGACCGTCCATGGCCGCTCCTCCGAGTGCGAAGCGATCGAAGCGTGGAGAGCACCCAGCAGTGGCGCGCCGAGCCGTCGACACCGTGACGGAGATTCGATACGGTGACCTAGACGCGCTACCCGCAGACGTGTGGCTGCGCATCGCAAAGGAGGTCGTGGAGAGAGACGAGTGCAGCTGCTCGTGGCCGCTCGTGTCGTGCGCCATCGCCATGCCGTGCATGCGACGCGCACTATCGGGAGACGTGCCTCTCGTGTTCTACGAAAAGTGCGAGTGCGTCCCCTCCGCCGTCTCCCTCGCTCAACAAATCCGCAGCTTCGCATGGCTGACGAAGCAGCTTCAAAGCCCTTCGGACTTCATCTTCTCAATCCATGAATCACCTCCCCGCCTCCTTTCCTCCCTCATGCGCTCGTGCCTGTTCCCTTCCCTCTCCTCCATCACCTCCCTTGATCTCTACTTTTCCCAGAGCCTCCCCTCCCATCCGCGCCTTCTCTTCTCCCTCTCGCAAGCGCCGCGCCTCATGTCGCTTTCTATTACGCATGACGTTGCGTCGGACAGCGAGAGTGACACGCAACGGCACCACGGCAACGACCCCGTGATGGTGGCGGAAATGTGGGAAATCGTTTCAATCATGCAAGAGGAGAAGGCGAGTGACAAGGACAGGTCGTTTCCCGTGCTGCGAAGCCTCCAACTCGACCTCCCCGCCTGCTCGCCTCTCGTCCTGCGCTTCGTCTCCTGCATCTCTTCACAGCTGGACTATCTCTCTCTTGGCGGTAAAAATCAGTTCGCGGCTCACGAGGGCGAAGAGGAGGCTGAGAGGGGTGAGAACGCGGAAGCGCCAAGGGGGCGTGAGAGGGACGTTGACGGGCGAGACTCCTTAACTCTTCACGAATGCCCGAATGCCACGAATGGCCGATTCCACGGGATCAGCTGCTCCATTTCCCTCTCCGCCCCTCGTCTTTCCGCCCTCTGCGTGCTCTGGAAGTCTCCCCATTTCCGCCTGCTCCTGCTCCCCACATGCCCCGCGCACCTGCCGTCTCTCTTCCTTAGCTCGGACGGACCCTGCGAGTGGCCGTTGCAAGCGCCTCACCTCACGTCGCTTGAATGCCTCTGCACCAACATGCAGCCAGAGCAGGCTGCTTGTTTCCCTCCTGGTGTTCTAGCGACAGTCAAGGCGCTTGAGTGGAGATATGTTAAGGTTTCGCGGCCGCTGGACTTGCGTGCTTGGCACGGCCTGCGTTGCTTCCATGCCATGGGATGGGACCCTGTGTCTCTGTGGATGCTTCGCTTTGGCGTGCTCTGGCCTTGTGGCGTGGAGGGATTGTTCTTCGATCACATTGGGAGCGACGTTGTGGAAGTTCTCAGGAGTGAGCTGAGAGAAGGTTTGAGGCATGGAAGGGAGGGCACGTCGAGCAGCCGAGATGACATAGGCCTCGGGACAGTGGAAGGTGGGCCCGACAAGGACGGAAGCAGGGATATGGTTCAGGCTAATGGTAGGAATCTATTGGCTCGACTGCTACCTGAATGCAATGGATTGCAGCGGTTTGAGGGGTGGGGCAATGGTGATCGTGTGCTGTACAGGCTGGATGCTGCTGAAGGACTGCGTAGGAAAGTGTATGGAAGTGCAGGAGGAGTGTGTTGGGCGAACAAAAGTAGGTTTTTAAAAGCGAGGGGGATCGTCGTAGATTAGGTGTGCTGGACTCTGCATGTAGATTGTGGGATAATGCTTGTGTCAAATATATAGAAATGTGTACCCGTATGTGAAAAATATATTTGAGGTCATAGTAGGTATGCTACCAGCATAGAAATTCGTATATCCGTTCATTGTTTCACTACAGTGAATCGTGTACGTGTCCCTAGAGCGGGGGGTAAGTATGTGCAATCACACCCACCTCGTGAAAAGCCACCGCGAGTCGCATCGCACTGACACAGCAACCCAACAAGGTTCCCTCGCAATTGCACTGACAGTGCCTGCCTGACATCATCGTAGCATGAGGAAGACGGGCAAACTTCACACAACTGTGATCTCAGCCAGGGCAGGGGGCTAGAGGACACACTTCCTCACCATTTGAGACACCATTTTCTCACCGCTTCAGCCGTCGTACCTATCAAGCGAGAGAGGAACTTTTTTGCAGCAGAGGAAGATGAATTAGGAAAATCGACCCCATGAATGATAGTTATTGACAATAAACATCGCTGGTGTGACGCGGCTGGTGGCGCGGATTTGGCTAGCAGGAAAAACAGCCCGGATCGGAATGACGTCGAGGGGGAGAGCTAGTCTATGTGAGCAGTTGGTCGAAAGAGAAGAAGAGGAGGGAGAGGCGGCTGAGCGAGGGGAGGATGAGGGGCGAGTAGCGGAGGAGCCGGCCATTGTCACCCCTCCCCCCGCAAAGAGATCGAAAAGCGGAGTGCACGCAGCAGTGTCGCAGCGAGCCCGCGTAAGCCAGCCCGAGGCGGAGATACGATACGGTGATCTAGAGGCGGAGATTCAATACGGTGACCTCAACGCGCTACCCACGGACGTGTGGCGGCGCATCGCAAACGCGGTCGCGAATTCGAACAGAGGAAAGTGCTACTGCTCATGGCCACTCGTGTCGTGTGCCATCGCCATGCCGTGCATTCGACGCGCTCTATCAGACGACGTGGCTCTCATGTTTTACGAGAAATGCCCGTGCTCAACTCCCTCCATCTCCCTCGCTCAACGAATTCGCAGCTTCGCATGGCTGACCAAACAGCACCCGCGTCTCTCCGAGCTCTACGTATCTCTTGACACTTCACCCCCCCGGCTCTTCTGCTCCCTCTTACACTCCTGCGTCTTCCCTTACCTCTCCTCCCTCACCTCTCTCACTATCGACTTCTCCCGACGCCTCCCCTCCCCTCCGCGCCTTCTCTACTCCCTCTCTCAAGCGCCGCGCCTTAAGTTGCTTTCTCTTACTCATGGCACCGTGCGGACAGACAGCAAGCACGAGTTGGCGCGGCACGGCTGCAATGATGCAGTGATGGTGGCCGAGATGTGGGAAATAATTACAATCATGGAGATAAGGAAGCCGGATGGAAAGGAGAAGCCATTTCCGGTGCTGTCTCGCCTCGATCTCTCTCTCCCCGCCTGCTCGCCTCTCGTCCTCCGCTTCGTCTCCTGCCTCTCTGCCCAGCTTCGCACTCTCTGCCTCATCGCTTCTGCAGATCAATTTGCAGCTCAGGAGGGGAATGAGGGCGCAGAAAGTGGTACGGGGAACGCGGACGGGTGGAGGGGGCGTGAGAGGGACATTGACGGACGAAACTCCTTTTCTCTTCACCTCCCGCTGGCCACCAACGTCAGATTCGACAGTATTAACTGCTCCATTTCGCTGTCCGCCCCTCGTCTCTCCGACCTCGGCTTTACTTGGCGGTCACGCCATTCCCGCCTGCTCCTGCTCCCCACGTGCCCCGCGCATCTGACATCTCTCTACCTTGACACCGACTGGACCTGCGAGTGGGCGTTTCACGGGCCTCACCTCACCTCACTTGATTCCCTCTGCACCAACATGGAGCCAGAGAAGGTGGCATGCTTCCCTCCCAGTGTGATAGCGACCGTCAAGGCCCTTGAGTGGAGGAATGAAACATCGCTGGACTTGAGTGCTTGGCAGGGCCTGCGTTGTTTCCACGCTGTAGGCTGGCCCCCTGTAACTCTTGCAGATCTCCGCTCGGGTGTGCTCTGGCCTTGTGGCCTGGAGGGGTTGTTTTTCAACAGCATTGGCCCCGACGTCGTGGGACTGTTTGAGAATGGGCTGGGAGAGGGCGATGGGGGAGAAAGCTTGGGAAGGAGGAGGCATGGAAGGGATGAGATAGTCTTGGTAACAGGAGGTTTGACGGAGGGCAGGCCTGTGGAAGGTGGAACTGAGGATAAAGACCAGACGAATGGGAGGAGTCTATTGGCTAAACTTCTACCTGGATGCAAGAGCCTGCAGCGGTTTGAGGGGTGGGACGATGGTGCATGTGTGCTTTATAGGTTAGATGCTGCTGAAGGGCTGAGTAGGGAAGTGGGTGGGAATTCAGAGGATGGTTGGAAAAAGACTTTCCATAGCAGAAGAAAGTTTTTTAATAGGTAGAGGGATAATGGATTAAGATTACTGTAATATGTAACTTATCATGCCGTTGTTTGTTGTCAAAGTGCTTGAATGCGCATTGGAACATGTGAGACTGCTTTGTAAGCATATGGCATCCTGAAGGTGTCCTGAGTCTACAGTACTTTGCTCTGCTCTCACTTGTTGGATGCATTGTTACATAATTCTACCGTTGCCTGACAATAATGTACTGCAATATTTGCCATGAACACAGTATGGCACAGCAAGCAAACCTTGTATTACAACAAATGAGTGTTTCTATCAAGTTGCACCCAGAGTTCAAGGGAAAATATGCCACACGTAATCAACAAGGGTCTCGATAATATGTTGTCAAATTGTTATTTGCTGTGTAGGCTGTAGTGGGGTACTCAACAGAGAGTACAACCCTTTTAGGGTTCCTACATGTATCCCACCTGCCTGCTAGTGCAAACCCCTCTTCTACCATTCCTTCTTATCGTAATTCTAACATGCTAGAGCAGATCGACCCTCCTTGGTCGATCCAGTGGATGGGCCCACCCTACTGCTTCCGCTCCTATCTGTCAGAATTTGTAATTCTTATATAATTGCATGTTTAGTTAGTGTAGTATCACCTATCTTGTCTTAGGTGGTCTACCTCCCTTCACCACCTCACCCGTTTCCTATAACTTGTACTGCATTCTATAGTGCACACCCCTTCTCTTGGCCAAACTTTCTCTTCACAAACCCTAGCCTCTAGCTACTATTCTGACATGGTACAGAGCAGTAAAACGGTCTAAGGACCTAATTTCTTTGAAGTAACATGGGCCCGCCCTTGCTGCAGCGCGAAATGCGCCATTTTTCTTCGTCCCGTCGCGCCCTGCGCCCGTCGCGCTCGTCGCCCTGCGCTCTGCCCGTTCTGCCCGTCGCGTCCCTCGCGTCGCCCCGCGCTGTTTCGTCGACCCGCGGCCCCAGCGTCTCCCCGCGCCGTTTCGTCGCCACGAGGCCCGCTCGTCGCCCCGCGCTGTTTCGTCGACCCGCGGCCCGCACGTCGCCCTTGCGGACGCCAGCGCCAGGTGCCAGCGCGGACGCCAGCGCCCGACGCGGACGGCAGCGCCAGCGCCGAGCGCAAGCGCCAGCGCCAACGACAACGCCTGCGCCCAGCGCCAACGCCTGCGCCCAGCGCCAGCGCCAGCGCCGGCAGCAGCTAATGCCCCCCCCCCCCCCCCCCAACCGCCGCCCTCCCTTCCGCGACTTCACACGTGGAAGGGGGGGGGAGGGGGAGACGTGGGGGTGGCGGGTGTGAACCACCAGCAGGCCGTCCCTCCCTTCCCTCTTCCTCTCTCCACTGCAGCACTTGTTGCTGTGGGGGAGGGGGGAGGAGAGAGGTTAAGGGGGGATGAGAGAGGTTAAGGGGGGTTGAAAGAGAGAGAGAGAGAGAGAGAGAGAGAGAGAGAGAGAGAGAGAGAGAGAGAGAGAGAGAGAGAGGTTCGCATTTTCTGGTTTCTCCTTGTCTGTTCTCTATCCGTCGTATCTGGGCGCCTTTGTCTTTCCTCTAGCTACTATTCTGACACTATCCTGTTAGTCGCGCTCCCCGGGCGCGCGCCATTTTTCAGCCCGCCGCGCGCCCCGTGGTGCGCGGCGTTTTTCTGCCCCCCCGCGCCCCGTGGTGCGCGGCGGTTTTCTGCCCCCCGCGCGCCCCGGGGCGCGCGGCGGTTTTCCACCCGTCGCGCCGCCCCCGTGCACCCGTCGCGTCGCCCCCGTGCACCCGCGCGTCGCCCCCGTGGACCCGCGCGTCGCCCCCGTGGACCCGCGCGTCGCCCCCGTGGACCCGCGAGTCGCCCCCGTGGGACCCACGCGCCGCCCCTGTGGGACCCGCGCGCCGCCCAGTGCCCCTGCGCGCCTCGGGGGGGCGGCGGTTTTCAGCCAGCGAGCCGCCCCTGCAGCCCGCGAGCCGCCCCTGCAGCCTGTGCGCTGCCTCTCCAGCCCGCGCGCCTGCCCCTGCAGTCGCGGGGCAGCTCCTACCCCGCCCCCCCTCTTCTCCTTCATCTCCCTGCTGCGCGTGCAGCCGTGGGGGGGAGGGTATGGGGGTGGCGGGCGTGAGTGATAGGCTGCTCCTCCTCCTCCTTTCTCTCCCACTGCTGCAGCTGCCGCTGAGGGGGGGATGGTGTGGGAGCTGAGGGAGTGGTGATAGGGATGCAGAGGGGGATGTGAAAAGGGGGTTTGGGGCAATGGGGGGAGGTTGAACAGAGGTAGCCGTCGTGAAGTCTGCAGCTCCAGTCGCCCGTGAGTCCGTTGCGCCAGGAGCCTGTGTGCCAGTTGCTCCAGTCGCCCGGGGGTCAGTTGCTCTTGCCGGCGAGCAGAGCCAGTTACTCGAGTTGCCCGTGTGCCAGTTGCACCAGTTGTTCGTGCGCCACTCCAGTTTGCGTCGTGTGCCAGCAGCTTCAGCGGCTGCCCACCTCCTCCTCTTCTCTCCTGGTCCCTCCTCCTCACTTGCCCTCTGTTCCTGCCACTAGGCTTTGCTTGTGAACTGGTCCTGCGACTGCTTGTTGTGTTGGCTATCCCCCACTTCGCCTTTGGGGGTGTGTCAAATTGTTATTTGCTGTGTAGGCTGTAGTGGGGTACTCAACAGAGAGTACAACCCTTTTAGGGTTCCTACATGTATCCCACCTGCCTGCTAGTGCAAACCCCTCTTCTACCATTCCTTCTTATCGCCTAATTCTAACATATGTTTGGTAAAAAAATAACGGCTACGGTCACTGCAATGGGACGATAGTGGCGAGAGCATTGGAAAGCGAGAACGAGAATGGAGGGGATTCACTATGGGAAGGAAGGTACAAATAGAGATGGAAAAAAGCAAATGGTACACCACCTAGAGCAAATGAGATGTTACCTACACTACAGTCTACACTGCAGATAGTTATACAAAATATATAGAAATATATTCCAACACACTGAACTAGTCACAATCAACTGGGAAAAAATATTGTGAATGGTCACAGATGAAACTCCCGCCCAAAAATATGTAATACCCAAAAGGAACATAGACGCATTTTCGGATGAATCAACCCTGAACACAACTCGCCAGGTGTTTAGGGCAGGGCTGACGTTTCAAATTAGGCCTCCCTGAATCCGGGAAAAAAATTCCCCATGTATTATGGGTGCACATTTTCCAGAAAAACATCACCCTGATTGCTCAGTGTTGGGAAGTTATATAGTCTGTCTGTTCAGGGTCGAGAAGTTAGGATCAGAGTAGTAACGCACTGTGCATTATCGAAACTGAACCTCGATGGTGGGTGTATCGGAACGAAAGTTCCAAGAAACTTCTTCTCGATGAAGCGGGGGGCTACGCACATGTCAAATTACGATTGTATCTCTAGGCTGTAGTAGGGTCACTCATTATTGAGTACAACACTTCAGGGTTAGGTTCCCCCTACTTGTACTCCCCTTCTGCCTAGTTCAATCATTCCTTCCTAGTTCTATTCTTAACATGATATCAGAGTAGGAACCGTTCCTACGTGGGCCACTGATCCGCCTAGTGGTAGCGCCACACACTACACCATTGCTAGCGCGCTGGCGCCCCCGCTCTCACTGTCGCGACCCCTCCTAAACGGCCCGCGCGACCCTACGTTTTTCTCACGGTCGCGACCGTGACTGACCGCGCCCTAGCTGCCCCGTACGCCACTCGCGCGGCCCGTCAGCTCCTGCGCCCGGTCCCCCCCTCGCTCCTGCTGCTGCGCGCGTCACTCGCGCTGCCTGTCAGCCCCTAGCGCGCACCTGCTGCGCGCCCCTCTTGCGATGCCCTGCGCGCACCTGCTGCGCGCCTCTGGCTTGCACGCCCACAGCCCGCGCGCGCCTACTGCTGCTGAGCGCCTGCGGCTGCTGCTACTTGCCGCTGCTGCTCTGCCACTGAGCCCGAGCCGCGCCGCCCTGCCGAGCCGCGCCGCCCAGTTCGAGCCGCGCCGCCCAGCCCGAGCTGCACCTGCTGCTGCTACTGCAACTGCTGCTCCTACAGCTACTGCTACTGCTGCTGCTGCTGCTACTGCAACTACTGCTGCTACTGCTGCTACTGCTACTGCTGCTATGGCTAACCTTTCCGTTCTTACGTTCGATGCTGAGGGCCGCGCGATCACCTTTGATGTATGGCTCGACGATCTCCAGTTGTACCTGCAGAGCGAGTCTAAGGACGGTATTTCCCTGCTTTTGCACACCGAGGGAAAGCTCCCAGCCCCTGCTGCCGACGCTGTAGAGGATCTGTCAAAGTGGCTCATGCGTGATGCTGCTGCCCGCCTTGCTGTCCGCAACCACCTGCCAGTCACTGAGCGCTCGCACTTTAGCCAGCAGAAAACGGCAAAATATCTCTATGCCGCTGTCGTCGCTCGCTACTCCTCCCCAGCTACTGCTGCAGTAGGCCGTCTCATGCTGCCGTACCTGCATCCTGATCTAGCTGAGTTCCGCACTGTCTCTGACCTCTTTACCCACCTCCGCTCTAGTGAGGATCGCTTCCGTGCCGCTCTCAAGCCGGCCTTTCTCGCTAAGAACCCCCCCCCGCAGTACTTCACCCTGTAATTTCTTGTCACTCGCCTCCCTGACTCCCTTTGCACTGTCAGGGACCAGTTACTAGCCCTTGACCCCACTGAGCTCACGCTTGACTCGCTTGAGAAGTCCCTTCTCGAGGCTGAGAAGAGCACTGTCGCTGTTGCTGCCTCTCGCGGCACTCCCCGCTCCCCCTTCTTTGAAGGGTGTGCTCCCTCCCCTCTCCTCCCCTCAGTTGCTACCGCTGCTGCAGTCGACCTCCTTGGTGCTGAGGACGTTGGCGCTGCGTCTGCTCCCAGTGGAAGGCGCAACAACAGCAGGGGCCGAGGGGGCAAGGGTGGTGGTGGTGGCATCAGCGGAGGGGGTGGCGGGAGTGGTGGCGGGGGTGGTGGTGGCTCTGGGGGGGGCGACAGTGGAGGCGGACAGGGTGGAGGAGGCGGCGGTGGTGGTGGAGGCGGTGGGGGCAGCGGGGGCGGTGGCGGAGGTCGGGGTGGGTCTGGCAGGGGTGGTAGCGTTCGTGGTCCCTCCCGTGGCTATGGGAGTCGTCCCACCGATCAGCAGCTTCGTGAGTGGGTTCTCCAACGTGGGGGCTCTGGGGGCTCTGGTCGCTGCCCGTATGTCCGGCGCACGGGGCCTCTGAAGGGAACAGTCTGCGGGAAGCCGCACACTGAGT